GCTCCCTTTTTCACAGTGACATTTCTTGGAAGGTATTGGAGACCGAGGATTGTAATTTCTTCAAATTGAAGATTGTTTGGATCTTTATATCCATTTTTTAACACTTCGAGTTTTAAAACATCCTAAGAGAGAAAGACAGAGCTTACTAAACATAACCAAGGCACTGGGTTACTTATTCAATTGCATCATTAAATATTTCCCGGACACGCATTTGATATAACAAGGCCAAGTTGCCCCATTTTCATTAAAGAATCTACATATGTTTATAATTTAAAATCTTTAAAACAATACAATTTACATTTATGTAGCGCCTTTCATGTTGGGATGATGTGTCAAAGTGCCTAAAGCATTCATATGGTTTACAAGTTCAACTTATGACCAATGTAAACAGTCTTGTTGGTGAAATAGCAAAATACTGAATATAAACAATTTGTACAACATGAAATCCAACAGTGATAAGCCATTGAATTAATGTGAACAGACTAACCTGCGCTACTGAAAACCGATAGGAGATATATTGTTCCTTTTCGAATGTATCTGTAATGTAAGACGTGCATGTCAATTCCTAAACACAGCAGCAGAGGAAATGATATTGATTTGTTTAAAATAGCAATTAAATTAGGTTTCTAAAATGCGCTCAGAATTCAGAATGGAACAATAAGGTTATTCCACAGCAAATGTATTGCTTATGGTCGATAGTGTAGCTCACCAACAAAATAACTCCATTAGTCTGATTTGATACTCTGAAACATCAGCTTGAGCTCAGAGAAAAGCTACGCAGCCTGTGTTGCTGTGTGTGTTGAAATGATTGACACATCGGGATAACATGGAGAAAAATACCTACCTTATTAGGTATTGATAAAATACCTATCTTATTAAGTATTGATAAAATACCTATCTTATTAGGTATTGATCACCCTTTATATGTTTTCAAACTTTTTGCCAGAATTTATTGACAAATTAAGGTAGAAATTCTATCTGGATCCTAGATTTACTGCGTTAAAGCAGAGTTTCCAAATTGCTGGATTTGGTAAACTGTTGAATTCCATTTCAACTTTCAAGCCCATTTTCTGTAGTTTTTTTTTAAAAAAAAAGCTTCAAGATTGAAAACTGTATTTCAGAATTTGACAAATTTTGGACAAATTTTCTGAATACAATACAATTTACATTTATACAGTGCTACGCTAAGAATAAACTAGACCCAGGTAGAATTTTACCACTTATCAGGCGATAGGTCTGAGTGTCTACATCTGAGTGTCTATGTGTCAACGCTATAGACTGCTTTGAACATGGTACGTTTCATAGAATACCTCTGGATTCCCCGTCATCCCAGAACAATCGCCCTTCAGCCCTTCCTTGCTCATCAAGCGCAATAAGAAGACCCATGGGGTTTTTCCGACTACAGGAGAATAAAGTATTTGTTTAGCATCAGATTATAACTGTAACATCCGTTCTGTTATTGCAGACAACTTGATCTGCAAGAAAGGAAACGGACTTCAAAATTATACACCAATTTTGAAGGATTTGACGAATTCTGGACAGTCAGAAATGCTTAATTTATTAGAGTAACGCACCTATAAAATGTAGAGTTAGCTGGTTGCTGAGTTGGGAAGACAAAGCCACCTCTGACATGAAGTCCTAATTTATCTTCTGGTAGTTGCAGAGTTACCCATTGCTTTTGAGAAAATATGGAGCCACCCTGGTTTAACAACACAAAAACAATAGCTTTAGAATATGCATCCAGTGCATATAGATTTATAATTGTCTGTAGTAGTGCAGAGGGAAACTCAGATGATTAATAAAATACAGTCTCTGCATCATTTCATGTCTCAGCCATTGCATTTAATGAAAATAATGTTTCCTTGTTGGTAATGACAATTTTACTGCAGTAGCTCAGTGGTTAGAGCACTCGCCTCACAAGCGAGAGACCTGGGTTCGATTCCCGGCAGGGTGAAACCTTGGGCGAGTTTCCTTACTCCACTCGCCTGATAATAATGCCTCAAGAAACAAAATAAAATAATAATTTGGTCACTCAATCCAGGACTGTTTGTGGGACACTGCTGTGCGCGATTGGCTGCTGCATTTTGTCCACAAATATACAGTGAATTCACTTTACAGTCTCGGAGACATGAAAAACACTATATTAAATGCAAGGATTAATTACTGGGCACCGCATTTCATCTGATATATTAGATACTTTAGATTAGATAATTCAACCTGTTAGATCTGTGTTGCTTGGTGTGTTAATGCATTTGTTATGATACAAATGAAGGACAACATGCACCCGAGCACTAGCTCTGTGGGCCGTGGTTACAGGGCTTTCAACAACCTGTTAAAGAATCTGCCTGGTTTCTCTCAGTTTAGGGTTCCACAAATGACAATTATGGAGAAGGTTGGAATCATATCAACCAGTTTGGGGAAAAAAAAGATTGTGTGAATGCTGAAAGGGGGGGTGCAATGTTTGAAGGAAACAGCAACTTGCATTTATATAGCGTCCTTCGCGTTGGGCGGTGTCTCAGAGTGCTGCATCGCATAGAAACTGAATTATATACTTGGGATGGAACTGACAACATTTTTAATACGTTCTGCAATTCCAACCCAAGAATTTATTCAGTTGATTTCTTATTCAGAATGTGCTTAACCTTTATTGAAAGAATACCTTCAAAGCACAACAGAATATAAGAAGCAAGATAATTGAAAGTTTGGGATCTAACTATAAAACTGGAATTAAAATGTTATTTACCGTCTCATATTCATACCAAACTGCATCAGGAAAGTAAGCTTGTATTTTTGTTGTCTTCTGAAAATAAGAATAAGTATGTAAGAATCATTACATGAATACCTGAAGCTAAATACAACATTTTCACAATACCATGACTGGTTGGTACAGTATTCCACCAATATGTACCACTGATTCAAGTCCTTAATATCCCCTGTGGTACAGTATATTCCCAATCTTAGCTGAGTAAACAAAGTAAAGCATTGAGTGGACCTATCTGCTAAAAAAAATCATCCGATAGCTTGTTGGAG